ATAATAATAGTGAAAACTGGGATGGGGTATATGGAAACACTCTATATTATCTTCTCAATTTTTTTGTAAATCTAAAAGTGTTAAAAATAATTTGTGTATATACACATACACTCTTCATTTTCTACCAGTTCCCAAACTCTCACCATTCAGAGCTCATGCTTTGGTTTTGACTAAAGCCCGGAGAACTGAGGAACTAATTTCAAGTTTGGGAACCAATTCCAGAAGATCACTGACCACTGACTGCTAAAATGTAAAAATGAAGTGTACAATAATGTGACTGGTTTTCCATAAACACAGCACCCCTTACCATCCAAATGAATTCTCTCACTTCATAGTAATCACTCAAGATGCTTTTAGCATTGTTTTAATAATTAAGACATTGCTCAAAACACTTTGAGAATCATCTTCAGAGTCTATAGCATACATTGTGATGAATATTCATTATCTGCAGGTGGATTTGATATATGCAAATAACCAAAAGAACTCAAACTAAGACTGATGAGTAAATGGGGTGGGAAATCTGGGTACCAAATGTGTTTCAAAATTTTTTGAATTTTAGAAAGGTAATATGGTGCACATACAATATAAAAAACAATTCCAACAGGGTCTAGGGCAGTATCCCGTAATTGAACAAATTAATATTTCTGCAATGTGATATATGAATATTGGCACTGTGATAAATCTGAGTGTGATAAACAAAAACTATAAACAACTTCATCTAAGTTGAGGTCAGGTTTGCCACAAAGTAAGTTCAGATCAAATTTGGTTTTGTCATCAAATGATTTTGGGTTTTATAATTTTTTAAGTTAGGAAAAGGATTGCATACAATGAATAATTGATGAAGACAATTCCCAACGTTTTGAGAAGGAACATTCCATCCTATTTACTGCATCTTCCAAGCCAGAAGCCCGAGTCACCCTAACCCTTTTGCTCTTTCCCCAACCCCTCAGCCACTCAATTACTGGGTCTTATTGATTTGAATCTTTTGAAATCTGTCCTTTCCTCTCTGTCAAGTCCAGCACCTTGTGATCTCTCACTTAAACCACTTTAGTTTCCTCCAAGCTAACCTCCCTGCTGTTTTTGCAGCCATAAAAGCCTTTCTCCATGCTACTCCTAAATGCAGATCTGAACTTGTAACTCCTGTATTACAAAGTCTTTATGGTCCCGCAGCATCTTCTGTGATGAAGTCCAGGGTCCTTAGTATGATCTAAAAGGTAGATGTGAAGATACAACTACAGCAGTGCTATTCAAAGTGTGTTACCAATCTGTAATGAAACAATTTCAAAATTAAATGTAAGCATTTAGAAACTTTTATAGTAATTTGACAGAAATTTTATATTTATTGAATCTAATAAAATGGGGATTTTACTTCATTTTTCTAATAACTCATTTTTAAATTTAATATTAGTAGTGGCTAAGACAATCAATCAATTAATCAATCAATCAATCAATAATGATAGATTGGCATTTTCATTTATTTTTTTTTAAGATTTTATTTCTTTACCTTTAGAGAGAGGGAAAGGGAGGGAGAAAGAGAGGGAGAGAAACATCAATGTGTGGTTGCCTCTTGTGCACCCCCTACTGGGAACCTGGCCTGAAACCCAGACATGTGCCCTGACTGGAAATCCAGTCAGTGACCCTTTGGTTTCAGGCCAGCTCTCAATCCACTGAGCCACACCAGCCAGGGCAGATTGAAATTTTTAAAAACTGGTCCATTACCATAGCTTGGGAAGCCCTAGTCTATAATCTTTATGAAATGCCTTGTATACTTCCATGGGCTCCCTTTTTTTTTTTTTTTACCATCACCTCCCATCCAGAAATAATAATTTTTAGTTTCTCAAACATATCATTCTGTTTCATACCTCCACATAAGTTTACATCCTGCTGTCTCTGACTTGACAGACTCTTCCTCCTAGAAATCTATTCAGAATTCAAAATCCTAGGCTGCACCATCATCACCTCCTTTGGATGTCTTCCTAAACTTGTGCCTCACAACCCCAGGCAGAATAGATCACTTGCATCCTACCATTGTTTGTGTCCCTATTATAGCTCTACACTGTAATTATTTGTCTATATATCTTCCCTACTAGTCTATGAACTCCTTAAAGGTAGTTCCTTTGTCTGAGGGGGTGAAGCATCTCTTGTAAGGTGACTAAATTAAAGGAAAACATTCCTTAAATTACAATTCTAACATATTAATGAAAGAGGAAAAAATGAGCATCATTACTTTATAACTTTCTATTACCAATAGGATTCCAATCTTCTACCTTTAGACCTTTAGCAGCTGGGCATGAATGAATTCACCAGAATAGTGGACATTTTAGAAAACTAAGGAGCCAGACTTGTGAGACTCACTGCAAACGTGAGGGAGGAGACATGGAAAACACAGCTCTCACTTAAACAGTCTGGCCCAGATCCAGCTCCTTTTGGGGTAAAATCTGTCAACTGCCCTTTTCAAAGTCACTCAGACCTGGAAATAACATCTCAACCCATTCATTTCAGAGGGCCTACCAGATGCCAGACCTACCCAGAGGATGTCCTAGGCTGAGGATGAAACAGGCAACTATAATTGAAATGTGTACAGAGAACCAGGAGGCCACTTAGGAATGGGAGGAGTTAATTCTGCCTAGAGTGGGTTCAAGAAGGAGAGGGTCCAAGAAGGCGACATTTGAGCCAGGCCTTACTGAGAGAGCTTGATTTGGCCCGGTGAGAAATGGGGGGGAGTGGGCAATGCAGTCTGCTAGATGAAAATCTACATATGCCTAGGAATGATTAATACATAATTAGCTGATTAATACATTATTTATAAACAATCAATTAATTAAATCGATAGTAGCTCCGCTCACCTCTTGAGAACTCTTGAGGTGGGGTGCGGGGAGCAGGTGAGTTGGGTAGGGAAGTGGCCCTGAGCCACCCCGAGGGGAAATGGGGCCCATGGAGAAACAGAGAAGAAACGAAGATGCTTGTATTTGTCCTACACCTTCTGTCATCTCCCCCACCCCCTGGCCCTTCTCTTTGTTTTTCTACTGCTTCTCATAGTCTTAGCCTGGCTCTTTGTCTCTCCTTTTGCTAAAGACTGGAAATTCCTTGTTCTCAACGGAAGGGAGTAGGAGGGGAGCTGGGGGCGGTAGGAGTGGGAGGGAAGCAAAGAACAGACATTTCAGCAGCTCGGGCTGCCTGGCTGCTGGGGCTCTGTCGGCCTCTGGCAGGGCTTGACAAATCAGTGATTTTTTTAATGTACATATTTTTAAATCCACATATAGCGACTTACAAACAAACCTAGACACAGAAACACAGATACACAAGTAGATGTTAAGAAACACATAAATACATAATCTCGGGGTACAAAGGCACCAACTGGCAATTGCAATAGCACCTTAAATTTGCTTAGCATTTTACAGTTTGTATATACATCCTCTCATTAAAACCTTACAACAACCCTGAAAAACAAGACAGAAACGCTCGAGAGTCTCACTCTCACACTCAGGTTTGCACCACACAGACCCCTTCGGAGTCCCCTAGGGGAGCGGGCATTCCCGATCCGCGTGATTTTTTCCTCCCTACTCCCTCTGTGGCTGAGTTGATCCATCCCAGTCCCGAGGAGTGGAATCGGCTCCTCCCTCGTCCTCTTTGCAGGGCGGGAACTCAGGCGTCCCGCGCCCGGTTGGTAACTGCCCCTTGGCTTCGCGCCCTACTCCGCCCTCTTCCCGGGTCCAGTGTGTCCCTCCGGAACCAGGGGCTCAGCACCGCCCCAAGGGGGCTGGTGGGAGGGAGGGGCGCGCCTCCAGTAGAGGCTGCGTGGGCGGAGGATGTGCGTCACGGGGAGCGTGGGCAGACGGAGGGAGGAGGCACGTGGAAACCCGCGGCCAGTGGCTGGCAGCCCAGGCTCCAAAATAACTAGAGGGGAATGGGGGAGTGGGCACCCACACAAATCAGAGGGGCTCGGAGAGTGCCCTCCCAGGGAGCCTGTCGAGCCGCGCCTCCAGTCGCGGGATAAGGGACGGGAAAAGAATCGTAGCTACTGAAATGCCCCCTCCCCTCAGTGATGCACCCCCACGCTCCCGCCTCCAACGAAGTCAGAAAGGTTCCCTGGCCAGGCCCGAATGTAGACTCAGCCCCCGCCCACGCCGCCCACGCCCAGGCGGGCCACTCAGAAGTGCGGAATGGCCGGGCGCGGCTGAGGTTTTGGACTAGGGGTAACTTTGCCTCTGGCCACTCCGTTCTTTTCCCGCCTCACCCCCCACCCCCTCCTTCATTTCCTCCAGGCCTGTAGCCGCAAGGCCGGGAGCTCAGATCCCCCGCCTGTCCACCCGCCCCTCCACAATCCCTCCCAGCCGTGGGCGGGAGTGTAATGAGAACCAGATGGGGCTAGGAGAAATGAAGTGGGGGAGGGGCGGTGGGGTGTGGAGTGGGGTTAGGCTCCTTGAAGGAGCTTCTCCCTCTATCTCCTCCTTAGAGATCCGCGTCGTATCCTCCCGGTCTCCTGCCCATATTCCACTAGCCTCTCGGATGAAGACCCCTAATACACGTCTCCAGAAAGGGTGTCCTCCATATCCCAGCTTTGCCACACAGAATTTCCCAGGAAGAGGTCCCCATCCTCAACAAATAGGATGCGACGAGCGGAGGAAGGCTGGGTACCCCTCCCATCTCTATCTGACCTCTCAGCGAACAAAACCCAACGCGTCTAGCTTCTACCCTAACGCTCCCGTTCCTGTTCCCTAAACTTCAGCACGTACTGGAGGGCAGGTTTGGAGGAGGCCTGAGCTTCCCAGTGGCCTCTGCAAATTACGCCTTTCGGTATTGGAGAAGAGCTCTGGGGTTCCTGCAGAGACCTGCCACAAATGCACACACAAAGGAGCCGAGAAGCCGCCAACTTTTCTTGGCTCACTCCTAACATTCACACGTCCACCACCGGGAGGCCTGAGTGTGGGCAAACGGGCGTTCGCGTAGTTGTTTAGGCGCGCCTGCACATCCGTGCGCTTCTCAGCGTCTTTGTGTACCTGTGCGTGGTTGTGAAACTCCGTTCTCCGAACGGGAGGGGTGGCGGTGCTGGGGGGAAGGAATGTCGCCGGCTGGGCGCTCACGTGGGTACGTGGGCGCAGAGAAGGCTGGCTGTGCATCCGGCGTGGGCGGCATGGAGCGACCTCGCCCCGCCCGCTGGGTCCCCAAGCCCGCCTCCCCAGCCCGGCTTGGGTCACCCTAGTCCCCACTTCGGCACCCTGGCTCGGAGTATCTCAGTCTCCGCCTCTCTCAGTCTCTCCGCTGAAGTGTCTCCACCAAGGGCCGTGAGGCTCGGGCTCCCGCCCCCCACCCCCGGCCTCCGCCCCCGCCTCTGCCCACGCCCTCCGCCCGCCCGGCAGCCAGCGCTGCGCGGGGCCTCGCTCCCGTGCGTCCTGCGGGGGCGGAGGCGCGGAGAGGCGGCAAGCGCAGCCGGGGAAGGGGGTGGGGGGCCGAGGCACAGACAGAGTCGCGGAGGCTTGGAGAGGAGAAAGGAGACGGAGAGGGAGGGACGGAGCCCGGACAGCGGCGGACACGGCCTCGCGCGCCGGGAAGAGCGCAGCGCGCACCAGTCGCCGAGCGCCAGCACCGAGAGGGGCACCCCCGGGTGGTCTCCCGCCGTCCATGCACAGAGCGCCCTCCCCCACTACCGAGCAGCCGCCGGGCGGAGGGGACTGCTCCCGCCGGACCCCGCAGCCCAGACTCAAGTTAGTGGGAAAAGGGAATCGGCGGGGAGTGGGAATGGGTGGAGCTGGACTCCGGGAAGGGGTCCGCAGGGCGTAGGTCGCCGTGAGGTCCAGGGTAAGTGGGACGGGGTGGAGGGTGGAGACTGATGGAATTAGGGGGGTCCTGGGATCAGTCAGGAGTCTGATGAATCTGGATACGAAAGAATAGTACCCAATTGTCCATCACCCGTTTACTTTGTGGACACGACCTGGCACGTGAGCCCCTTGCAGAGAATATGCGGCCCCCAAGCGCCAGGGGAAGCCCTGGAGCTCTGGTTGGCAACGGTGCGGGGTTGAGGTGGGGAGGTGACGCGGGGCGTTCGGGCGGCTCAGTTTGTCGTTGGCACGGAGCAGGCGGCCCCAGGTCCGGTAGAAGCCGGAGCCTTTGAGCCCAGGGAGCATAAGAGGCTCTGTGTAGCAAGGAATGCATTTAGGGGGCACTTCTCGTTCCTGTAGCTTTATTTACAGCGTGGGGAGAGGAGTTTCGGAGCGCAGCCCCTCCCTCAAGAGGTCTTGAGCCGCTCCCCCACTCCACTTGAGATGTGGGTGGAAAATAAGAGGGTAGGCGGGAGCCTCTAGGCAGTTTTCGCCCGCAGACGCTACCACTGTGGGAGTGTGTGTGGGCAGAACAGACCCAGAGCAGAACAATTGAGGCACTCCTTTCCTTTCCTGTGCCTGAGTTGAAGGGCCAGGCCTACCTACCAAACAGGTGTCGAAGGTCATTGCTGGGAGAGGGGCCAGCTGGCCACACCGAGCAGTCTGGAGGGGAGGGGTGGTCCTGGAGGGAAGACAGCAAGAGTGTGCTGAAAATGCTTCATCTGTTGGGAAAGCTTTGGGTGACAGAGCAGGGGTCCACCTGGCTCATGGAGTGGGAAAAGGGCGTGGAACGGGCCACACATCTCCATCTCGGCGGTAGGGGCAGGATGCCACCAGGGAGCGAAGCAGACCAGCAGTAGTCCCAGGTATCTGCTATTGGTATACCAGGGGTCCTGTACTCACCTCATTGTGGGATGTCACCTTGAGTGATGGTGAGACTGCTAGTGCTTAGGGTGGAAGGTGAGGACCATGTTCTGGAGGGGAGGGACATGTAGCCATCCCAGGGTGTGCTGGCTAGCTTTAGCGCTCAAGGTCCCCGTGTCCCAAAAAGAAAGGTAAAAGCTGAGGATGGGAGCTGAGAGTGTTAGACTTCTGCAGCGACTGGGCTGGCTTTTGGTACTTCTAGCTAGTCTGGGATAGCCCTGGCATTTCGGTGTCTCTGAGCAGGATCTGATTCTCATAGTCTGTGCCCAAGCCTGGGTATTGAGCAGGGAGAGCATTCAAGAGAGAGAGAGAAGAGAAGCAGGCAGGAAAGAGAGGACAATTGTGAGTGTGGGTTGGTACTCAGTGGGGGGGCGGGAGAGGACTTGGACTGACTGCTCCCCTCTTTCTCATGTGTGCCTCCTCTTCAGGCCTAGTGCCCGAGTCATGGCACTGCCTCGGACACTGGGGGAGCTGCAGCTGTACCGGGTCCTGCAGCGCGCCAATCTTCTTTCCTACTATGAGACCTTCATCCAGCAGGGAGGAGACGACGTGCAGCAGCTGTGCGAGGCGGGTGAGGAGGAGTTCCTGGAGATCATGGCACTTGTGGGCATGGCCACCAAGCCCCTCCATGTCCGACGCCTACAGAAGGCACTGAGAGAGTGGGCCACCAATCCAGGGCTCTTCAGCCAGCCCGTGCCTGCCGTACCCGTATCCAGCATTCCGCTTTTCAAGATCTCCGAGACTGCGGGCTCCCGGAAAGGGAGCATGAGCAACGGTCATGGCAGTCCAGGGGAAAAGGCTGGCAGTGCTCGAAGTTTTAGCCCTAAGAGCCCCCTTGAACTTGGAGAGAAGCTGTCACCAGTGCCTGGGGGACCAGGGGCAGGAGACGCCCGAATTTGGCCAGGCCGGAGCACTCCAGAGTCCGATATTGGGGCGGGAGGAGAAGAGGAGGCTGGTTCACCCCCTTTTTCCCCACCTGCAGGAGGAGGAGTCCCTGAGGGAACTGGGGCTGGAGGTTTGGCAGCAGCTGGGGCTGGGGGTGCTCCCGATAGACTGGAGCCAGAGATGGTGCGCATGGTGGTGGAGAGTGTGGAGAGGATCTTCCGGAGCTTCCCAAGGGGGGATGCTGGGGAGGTGACTTCCCTGCTGAAGCTAAACAAGAAGCTGGCACGGAGTGTGGGGCACATCTTTGAGATGGATGATAACGACAGCCAGAAGGAGGAGGAGATCCGCAAATACAGCATCATCTACGGCCGCTTTGACTCTAAGCGGCGGGAGGGCAAGCAGCTTAGCTTGCATGAGGTGAGGACCCCAGTCTCCCTAGATTGCCCTTGGCTCCCCGGCCTCAACCTGCTCACCTCTGAGAATCCTCGTGCTCCTCAAGTCCGTTTCATTGCCCCTTGACCAGGATTCCAGGCCCTGATTCCCTCTCCCCCCACACCAGTTCCAGCTGCTGCGGTGCTTCCCTCCTTAGCTGAGGGGGAAGTAGAGACACAGGTGAGAGCCCAGCTGTCCAGCTTCGTTCTCCTCAAGACATCACAGGAGCGGAGGAACCCCGGGACATTCCTAGGAAGCTGTGGGTGCTGACCTAGGTCTTCCCTCAGAAAACTTCTGGGTAGTGTCAAAACCTAAGCAAGCATCTGAGGGGTGGGCCTCATTTGTCTGATGGTGAAGGCTTGTGAGGAGCTCTGAGCAAGGCAGTAGGGAGTTAGGATCCTGACTGTTCTGGCTGTTGTCTCCACAGCTGACCATCAATGAGGCTGCTGCCCAGTTCTGCATGAGGGACAACACGCTCCTCCTGCGGAGGGTAGAACTCTTCTCCTTATCACGCCAAGTGGCTCGAGAGAGCACCTACCTGTCCTCCTTGAAGGGCTCCAGGTGAGATCCCTTCTCCAAGTCCTTCCTAGATTAGAATCCTGCCAAAGAGTTGGGTCACATCTTAACCTCCACTTGAGGCGCCTCCAGGCCTGCTTGCCACCAACCTGCATGCCCTGTCGTTGACAAAGTCCACTTGTCTGAGGTCTGGTCCCTCTCCATCTGCCTCAGGTCCCCTCCAACCCCCAACAACAGTAATGCCTCAGCTAGGATTCCTGCTCAGCTAGGTCTTCTCCAGGACATTGAACTAATGCATGCCCCTCACGGGACTCTGTGCCCTGAGCATCACGTGTGCCTCCCCAGCCTCATCTCCTGTTCTCTCCATCTTTGCAGGCTCCACCCTGAAGAATTGGGAGGCCCCCCACTGAAGAAGCTAAAACAGGAGGTAGATTTTCCAGGCTGCATGTAGGGCGTTAAGGCAGACTTCCCCAATACCCTCCCTTGGCAAGTTCTCATTTCCCCATTTGGGACATCCACAGGTTGGAGAGCAAAGTCACTCTGAAATCCAGCAGCCTCCCCCAGGCCCTGAGTCCTATGTGCCCCCATACCGCCCCAGCCTGGAGGAAGACAGCGCCAGCCTGTCTGGGGAGAGTCTAGATGGACACTTGCAGGGTGAGTGTGCACCAGAACACTTCTCTCCTCTGGGGGGAGGGTGGAAGGTGTGGGAGAAGGGAGCCAGGAGGCAACTGCCTGGAACAGAGTTGGGAGGCCTGGCTGGATGGGGTCAGAAGGGCCTGAACCTATGGGTCTGGCTTTGTGGTTGAGGGTGGGGGTTCTGTTGACTATAGTCCCTTACCTGACCGGTGCCCATGCCCACAGCTGTGGGTTCATGCCCAAGGCTGACGCCGCCCCCTGCTGACCTGCCTCTGGCATTGCCAGCCCATGGGCTGTGGAGCCGCCACATCCTGCAGCAGACACTGATGGATGAGGGGCTGCGGCTAGCCCGCCTCGTCTCCCATGACCGCGTGGGCCGCCTCAGCCCCTGTGTGCCTGCAAAGCCGCCTCTCGCAGGTGAGGCAGCCAGCAGTGCTGTCCCCAAGCACCCTTCCACCCAGGCCCCATGTAAGCAATCCTGGTGTCCTGGGGCCAGGTGGGAGGAAGAGGGATGTAGTCACCAGAGAGGGCAGTAAGTAGGATGGTTGGGGATCCAGCCAACCAGGCCTTGGCCTGAGAAGAGAATGACCCTGCAGGTTTTTCCCACCCGGGAGGGTCTGACCCTGATGGAGGTCCATGAAGGGGGAACTAGGGGGAGTAGGGAGATGGAGAATGGAGGATGAAGGGGAATAGAAGGAGAGTCACTAGGAAGGGAAGCTTGGAGGAAACTTAACACCAGAGCAGAAGGGTGGAGCAAGCTAGCATTTGGGATGGGGCTGCCCAGCCCAGAGGTGGAAGAGCCCAAAGGGGGACACTTTGTGTGTGGATGGGGGAAGGGGGAGTAGATCGGCAAAGGGCTGGGCAGCGGCTGGGCTGAGAGTGACGCAGCAGACAAAGCCACCAACCCTAGCTTGGTATTTTTAAACTGTGTGTGGGTGGGAAGTGGGGGAAGGGACTGGAAGAGGGGCTCTTCTTGGGGAAGGAGCTGGGAGGTTGGCTTCCTGTGCTCCCAGCTGACTTGACTTCTAAGAAACTTGGGGGGCATAGTTGGGTGGGTGGGGCCACCTGGGGGACGGGCCAGAGAAGAGTAGGGGCTGCAGAGCCTGGGAAGGGGGGAGGGGGAGAGGTCAGAGCCAAGCCGCCCCCACAGCTCCTGACAGAACCAGAAATTCCAGCAGAGCAGAGGCGGGAGAGACAGAGAAAGAGAGACACACACACAGAGACAGGGAGCTACACACAGCCGGAAAGAGGAGGGGTGCACACACTTGCATGTGGAGCCTCCCGTGTACACGTGGTGGGCAGGAGGCAGCCACACAGCACATTAGGTTCATCTTTGCAGCTTTCGCTAGCCCTGCCTCTGTTCTCAACCACTTCTCTCTGCAGCATCTACCCCACGGCCTCCTAACCTATTCCTTCTCCCAACAGAGTTCGAGGAAGGGCTGCTGGACCGATGTCCTGCTCCAGGATCCCATCCGGCTCTTGTGGAAGGTCGAAGGAGCAGTGTGAAAGTGGAGGCTGAGGCCAGCCGGCAGTGAGGGACGGACTGGTGTCCTCACCGCCAGGCCCCTGGACTTCCGGCTTCCACAGATCCCTACACTCTTCGTCCCTGGCATCCGGTCACAACCCCAGATCCTTCCTTTGCCCTTCTCCTGCCTCCCCATCTGCTCCATGGGCATAGAACTATGGGGCTTCAAGCAATAATGAGGAGGGGCCTGGCGAGAGGACACAAGGAGGGTGCGTGCTGCCCCTCACCCTTGCCCACGGCCCCGGGGGCAAGGACGCTGCTTCCAGGCCATCTGGGGTTCTCCCCTCCCTTACACGACACACGTGGGCAAGGGTGTGCCCATTCTCTAGTTTCAACCGGTGGTGTGAACAGTTGGACTTGGTTTGGACATGGGGGAAAGGGAGACTTCCCTGGGAAGGTCCAGCAGCTAACATGGAAGCATTGCCCCCGGAAATGGGGCCCAGGGACACTGGACCTGCTCCTCCACTCCTCCCCTCCCCCATTTTTGTGCTTCTAGTTTGTATCTTTAATTTAACAAGTGCTGCAGTTTTCCCACTCATCCCCATCTTTCCCCCAAGTCTTCCTGCCCTGCCCTCTCTGGCAGGGGTGGTGATGGATGTGGGGACCCCTTCACCAGCCCCCGTGGGAGCCCTGGGTTGGACCCAGTATCTCCCTAAGCTAGGGGCTGGCCCATAGCACCTGTCTGAGCAGTTAGAGCATTTTTCTTTTCAGATCGTGTACAGTAGATTATTTATTTTGTTATTTTGGAATAAAATTTATTTTATGGCTTATGATCTATGACCCCCCACCAAGAGGGAGAAAGGGTGGTATGGGGGCAGAGGGAAACTGTCGATGGCTGGGAGATAGAAACGAAGCAGTGGGGAGGGTCCCTAGTACACGGAGAGGACCACACACCTGGGCCTGGCCCCAGACTCACCCCGGCGTCCAGCAGTGTTGGCAGTGTTGTCACAGCCACATAAGCCCACCTGAGCACACCTGGGTTGGCATGCATCAGAGGCCAGCATGCTCACCAGTGCCTTTTGTGCAGTGTCTCACACTTCAAAACTTGCATGGTCAGAGGCAAAATCATATAATGTTCTGTGTGGCTATATGACTAATGTGTGACATCTGTATGTTAACAAGTCTCAAGTACACTAACAGAGCACCAAGACACTCAGCCCATGTGCTGCAGCACCATCATGCACAATCGGAAGCCTCCATCTGACTGTCAGGAATCTAGTGATGTTTGGGATTTGTTTTTTAATCTGGGCAAAACCCACATCAGTAACTAAATGTACAGGCCCCTCTCCTGCTCCCACCCAGGGTCTCCTGAACTGCTTCCTCATCCCCCCAGGGCTAGGACCCAGCCCACCCGCTTCGCCACCCCCAGCCTCTAGTGCAAGTGGGTGCACACATCTGCCTTTCTCTACACGTGCATCGTGGGTCCTGGCTGGGAGTGGGAGGAGAAGCCCTCCATGCTTTAACCTGTGCTCTTGCCCAGCCCCCTTCCTTCTCAGCCCCATCTCTCAGGGAGAGCTACGTGTGTGTTCTGTGTGTTCAGGCATGCTGGGGCGTGTCTCACTTTGGAACCCGAATGTCTCTTCCACTATTGGAAGGGCGAGGGCAGGGGTGTGTGGCAGGAGGGGAGGAGTGGATAGGCTCCACCCACTGTGCCTTCTCCTGGCAAAGTCTTCCTCTTCACGAGGGAGTAGGTGGGGGTAGCAGGACACTCTCCCCAACCGCTGCTCGGCGGCAGCACGGGCAGGGTCCAGAGCAGGTCCATGGGGGTAGAAAAGCTGACTTGCTGAGCTCCCCCTCCAGCTGGGATTACCAACTGGGGTTGGGCCTTAGGTCCAGATGGGACATTGAGATCACAGACTGCCCATAGGGGGAGGGCTGCGGGAGGGGCTGGGCTCCCAAAGACTCTCTTCCTGATTCCGCCTGCCCCTCCAGGATAAGCTTAGTGAGGTCCTGTTCAGTGGGAGGCAGCAAAGGCGGAAACATGTCTTCACCGACCCTGCCAGGAGGAAGGAGGGAAGCCGTGGGATATAGGCTGGGCACCCACCCCTGTAGCCCACCCTCACCTGCTACCCATAGGCCGCCACTCACCAGGTGCCTTGAGGAAACCCTCCCACTTGCTGGCTCAAGCAGCTGTCCTCCATGGTCACATCAGGGCAGAGCAGGGGCTCAGGGCTGGATATGGCATGCTCCTGAGACTGGCACAGCAGCAGGCCCCTGTTGGGGCCAGGAAAGCAAATAAGATGTTGGTGGGTGGGGGTAAAGCTGGGAGTGAGCAGGGCCCAGGGGTCAGGATGGGGAATGCCACTCACTGGGGGTGAGGTTGGTCAAAGGGCAGGCTCATCTGGTTCAGGTTGGAGGACATCGGCAAGCGAGGTCTGCAAGCGGGAAGGAAGGCAGTCAGAGAAAGGAAGGCTGGGCAAGAGCTGGGTGTTGCAAAGTCAAGACCAGTAACAAGGGAACAAAACTTTCAGCTACTCAGGTCGACTGCATAGCCTAGCGCAAGCCATGTCTGCAGCGTGCGCTCAGTCTTCTATTCGTGAGGTGTGTGTTGGGGACTGGGAAGGGATGGGGACTGGATTAGCTAATTTCTGATGTTTGCTTGGACTCTGAACTTGGGTGGCTCTAAGTCCCCCACCTCAACTCCTGGGAGGGAGATGTCATGCCTGGACTAAGAGTTAATAAGTGCTCGAGTGTTACCTGGGAAACAAAAGTGTCTAGATCACTTCAAGGCCGAAACAGATGAATAAATGAAAATGAAGACAGCAGATGAGTGACTGTGGATACCAGGGGCAGGAGAGAGAATACTGATCCTTACATACATAGCTCTTGCTATAAGCCAGGGACTTTGCTCAGCTTTACACATATTACTAACTAATTTAGCCTTCACAACAATCCTATGAGGAAGGTATTATTATTATTCTCCATTTCACAGATGAGGCACCAGAGTTAAGTAACATGCCCTAAGTCAGTTAAGTAGCAGAGCTGGAAGCCGAGCCCAGGGAAGTCTGGGTCTTAACCCCTGAGCCTCAGTGAAGTGAACAGAAGAGACAAAGAAAGCTTTTGGCTGCCCATTTCTCACAGTAGAGGCTCTCCTAACAAATGTGAATGCCCATCCCCCTTGCAGCTGGGCATACCCACCCCATTCCCAAGAGGTTCTTCACTTACTCTTGGAAGGCTGGCAGCACATTGACGGATTCTTCCCGGGGGAGGGCTTGAAATGAGGGGATGGAGTGAGAGTGTGGTGGGTACACCTGGGGCCTGGGGAAGGAAAGCAGAACCCTCTGATGCCAGCCCTTCTCCTGGACACCCCCACCCTCACCTAAGAACGAGGACTCCCTTTCATGGAAAAGAAAATTCCCTCTTTCAGCCCCTAGCGCCAGCTCTCTCAGCTGCCCATGCTGAAAGCCCGCCCGCCTGCGCAGACCATTTCCATGCCCGTCTCTCATGCTCCTTACACCATATCTGGGCTGAGCTGCATGTTCATGGAGTCGGGGGCCATTCTAAGGTCATAAGAGGGCACCATGGTAGGCATTTGGGGCTCTGGGGTGGAAAGTGGCTGGTCCCTGGAGGAGGGAAGGAGGTATGTGTGACTGACCAGTCATTGATGCCACCACCCCTGTCTGCAAGTAAGTGCCAGGCATCACCCATCATCCTCACCACACTCACCTTTCTACAGTCATCTTGATGGTAGCTGGGACGTAACCCCTGCCATCCTTACCTATCTGTTCATCTGTCGCGGGGAAGAAAGAAGAGCTATGGAGTGCTCCAGGGTGAGGGAGGAGGGGAGGTGGGAAAAGCGAGCATGGCAAGTAGGAGAAGTGGGGCTGCAAAAATGGGGGGAGAAGACAGGGATGGCACACAGTGGGCAGGGAGGGAGCAACAGGGACCAGGGAGGAGGTGGGCAGCAGGAAGGAGTCAAAATGGCCAGCTCCAGCTCACGCTTGTAGTGGCTCCGGAAAGCCTCATCTTTGGGTTTCTTGGGGTAGAGGTTTTTGAGCTGAGCAAGGTCCCGGATTCGGTCTCCCAGTGAGCGAATGGACAGGTCTTTGGCAGAGAACGGCTGGATGTTCTCTATCTGTGGGGACCCTACAACAGGAATGAGACCCTGAGTCCCTTCTGTCCAGATATCCAGATTTTCTTTCCCTGTCCCATCCCCCACACAGAACTCATTCTCAATCTACCAAGCAAGGAGGAGAGGACCTCAGGTGGGGTCCTGGGGAGGGGGACCCACTAGTCTCCATCCCCACAGAGGTCACAGTGAGAAAGTGGAAGTTTATACCACAGAAGGGAAAAGTTAGACCTAAGAAAGAACTTTCTGAAGATCAGAGGTGGTGTCAAGGAAGCCAAAATATCTCCTTCCCAAAAGAAACCTCAGAGGGCACAGGCGCAGTCGGAGGACTGACGGGTGGCCTCACCATCCTGGCCCCGGATGACGTGGGCAATGGTGATGCCTCCGATCTCGGAGTCGCTGAAGCGAAGAAGGAATGTTCCATCAGGCTCGTTGAGAAGAAGGTTGGTGACGTACTGTTTGCTGATGAAGCCAATGATCAGCCTGGCCAGGATGAAGGAGAGAATGGGGATGGAGGCACTGGATGTGGCGAGGGAGCTGGAGGTACATTTCCTTAGGCCACCTGGGGCAGGGACTCACCTGTCTGACCAGTAGCTCTTGAGACAGCGTTTGGTGAGGTCCAGGACACCATCGAACCACTGCCAAAAGGTGAAGCCACGACCCAGCAGGATCTCCTGTGGGGGAGGGGGAGCTGGTGTGAGCACCAAAGGGCCAGAGCTGGAGCCTGGATGCGGCAAGCACTGGGCTGTGAGTACCCCCATGACAAAGTCACAGGGCAGAGGGACCAAACTGGACCTAAGACCCCATCAATAATAATAGCCAACACTCATTTACTATGTGCCAGGCATTATTCCGAGCCCTTTCCATAAATGAATTTATCTGATCTTCCCAAGGCTACAGAGGTAGGTCTTACAATTATGCCACCTTACAGATAAAGAATGGAAGACCAGAAAGGTCAAATAAGTTGCCCAGGTCCACACAGCTGGTGAAAGGCAAAGCTGGGGTTTTGCTCAAGAAGTCTGGGCTGGAGCCCCTCATAACCACTATGCTGCACCCACCAGCCATGCACCCCGCCTGCCCTCATGAGGCCTGAAGCCTGGTGGAGGAGGAGTCCAGAGAAGGCAGCTGCCAGGTGTGAGTGTCCGGCTCCCTTTGCTAACACATCCTCTGGTCGTGTGGGCTTTTCTTCCTTCCTTTTTTTCTAAGAGAGCGGTACATGACTGCATTTACCCAGCTGGTGGTCAACCAAAACACCCAAATCTTTTTCCCTGTTCTTTTAACGCACTCAGTTCTGAGCCGTCTTATTTTGAAGGGTGTAAAATATAGTAGCTTAGAGCAAGAGTCAGAAATACAGGGTTCCATCCCAGCCATGGCACTCGCCCACTGGGAGGCCTTAGACAGAGTACTTAACCCCTCTGAGCATCAGGTTCCTGGTCTACAAAGCAAGAATAATAATAATACCCACCTCGGAAGTTGGGAGGAATAAATGAGGTAAATATGTAAAGTGCCTCAGTGCACTAAGCACAGTGCCTCACACATAGTAACCTATCCACATATGGGTGCTGATATTATTATCACATGTCCCTGTGGGATTTCATCCTGGTTTTTATTTTTCCTCTTCCCCTGAGGACATGCTCATGATTTTAGAGAGAGGGGAAGGGAGGGAGAGACAGGGAGAGAAACTTCACCCCAACCAGGAACCAAACCCACAACCTAGGCATGTGCCCTGACTGGGAATCGAACCCATGACCTTTTGGTCTGTGGGACAACACTCCAACCAACTGAGGCACGCTGGCCAGGGCTCTCCCTGGTTTTTGCAATAGGAACTATTTTCCCAATGGAGCAAAGTTATTTTGAGCTGTGTTTATACACAGTCTGGGTGAGTCATGCAAGTCACTGGTAAAGAGGGAAGACAGAGGCTCCCACACCAAGACCTGAGAGATACCAGAGAATGCATTCCCTGGGCTGATCCCTGAGCTGAGGGGCTTTCCTGCCTGGGCCACGACAAGGCCTTCCTGATGGACATGATGGGGCATGGTGCAGATCCCAGCAGTCAGTCCCTGAGCAGAGAGTGAGGAGTCCCCGAGTGCCCCAGGGATGAACAGCTTGAGGGTAGCCAGTCCAAAGGGCAGGGGAATGACCTTGTTGAACTGTGACCAGGACACAGAACGGTGCTGGAAGGCCTCTATGCTGAGGCTGTTGTCGTTGAAGATCTTCTGGGCCAGGAAGAGGAAGTGCTCTGGTAGTAGCCCCTGGTTGGTGCCCACCTCGGCCATGAACTTGAGGTTCAGAGTCTCACACATCTTCTCCCAAGGCACCCGCTCAGCCACCACAAAGGGCACACGGTCCTGGGGGGAAGGGAACAGGAAAAGGTGCCTCAGACTATCACCCCCATTCTCCCTCAGGAGGGGCCTTTATTCTTCCCACCTCCCCAAGGCCACCCCTTCTAGACAGGGCCTCAGTGCACTAAGGTCCCCCAGAGCTCGCTCACAAAGATGGTGCTTCGCCAACAGTTTAGAGTGCTACAACATGATAGTCAAGACTGGTATGAAAAGAGGGCAGAAGTACCAGAGTGGGTCCATGAGAAGAAGGTAAGGTTACTCCATTTGAACATGCCTGTTAACCCACCAGTCTGTACCTCCCCCCCTTGTTAGAGCCCACCCTGCCTGCCCCCGATTCCATGTCTTTCTCACCATCTCAGAGAAGGCATTGTCCCACAAGATGGTGGCTTTGGCATTGTTGTCTTGGTTGCCATGGACGATGACCACCAGGGGCAGAGATAGAGCCTAAAGGGGTTGAGGAGCAGAGGTTCTTCTTAGTGCAGCAAAGGGCTTCCTTAGGGAGCTGGCTCTGAGGGGGAAACTACTGGACTCACACAACATGGTTAAAAGCTCATGGTATATTATCAAATGCTTTCTAAAGCTCAATTTGGGCCTTAATGTAGAAAAGCGTTTATGAGTCAGTGCTATGGAGCAGACCTCCAGGTTTCAAATGCCAGCTCCAACACTTAGTAGCTCTGTGACCTGCGCAAATTACTCAATGTCCTCATCTGTAAAATGAGGCTAGTAATAATACCCTCCTCGTATCTTATTGTGAGAACTGTGTGTGTATGTGTGTGTGTCACTTAAAACAGTGCCCTGGCCAGGTAGCTCAGTTGGTTAGAGCATCATCCCAACAAGCCAAGGTTGTGGGTTCAATCCCTGGTCAGGGCACACATAAGACTCAATCAACAAATGTATAAATAAGTGGTACAACAAACTGATGTTTCTCTGTCTGTCTGTCTCTCTCACTAATAAAAATAAATACAAAATTCAGCCCTGGCTGGTGTGGCTCAGTGGTTGAGCATCGGCCTGCAAATCAAAGGACTGTTGGTTTGATTCCCACTCAGGGCACATGCTGGGTTGTGGGCCAGGTCCCCAGTAGGCGGTGCATGAGAGGCAACCACACACTGATGTTTCTAAGCCTCTCTTTCTCCCTCCCTTCCCCTCTCTAAAAAAATAAATAAATAAAATATTTTTTAAAAAATTTAAAAATAAATAAAACTGTGCCCTGACCTATAAAAAGGTGCTAGTTGCTACTGCCCCATTAGTCCCTGCCACGTCACTCTTGCTCTTGCTCCTCCCGGCTCACCCTGGTGTGAGTGCCAAGCACAAAGGGTGTGGGGCCATCGCAAAGGAGGGAGGACCCAGGGCTCAGTGCGTGGCATGGGGAGGCCCTGGGGTCCCAGACTGGGCGGAGCTGGGGCCTTGGTTCACCTGCAGCTGGATGGGGAGTTTGTTGGGGCCGAGCATGAAGGTGGTAGAGAAGAGCACAGCACACTTCTCCTCCGTGACTGACTCCGTGCCCTTCCGTTCACACCGCTTGATTTTCTTCAGAAGCTGCAGGGTGGGTTGAGGGAGAGCAGGAGTGAGGACTGAAAGCCCTGGGCTCCCAACACCCTTTCCAAGGAGAGTCCCGCAGTCTAAGGACTGCTCCCTCCTCCCCAGCGCTCCCCGAAGCCCTCACCAGGTTCTTGAACAGGGCAGAGCAGCAGTTCCCGGAGCCCATGTTTTCAAAGGGCACAGTGTTGTTGGTGATTTCCCCAGTGCTTTCTCTGCCAGGAGAGGTCAGACAGTGAGTGTGCCGGGCCAGGTGTGGGGAGGGGCTCGAGTCCACGGGTCAGTGGCGTGGACATCTGGCTCCACATCTCCATCTCCACTTTCCTTGCTGGGTTCGTAGGAGAGACACCCCATCTTGGCCAGATAGAGATGTCCTGCCCACTCCAACGCTAATGGGAGCCTCCCCTTCCTCTGCCTTGACCACGCATCCCACGGCCCTCCCTCCCTCCTGAAGGTGTCAGTCCCCCGGGCCTCTTTGGCCTTCGCCACCCCACCCCGAGAGGCCATCTCCAGCCCCAGCTTACACTCCAGCCCCGGGTCCCTGGGGGCTGCTCAGCTCCCTCGCCTGCTTCTCCGTCACCATGTCAGCCCTGACCAGCGGAAACTTGGCTGGGGTCCCCAGGAATCGTGGGCCCAGCAGGAATCGAACTCCTGCCTGAAACTTGGTTTGAGTTTTCAGAACCTGGGGGGGCTGCTTCTCCACCAGGAAAGAGCTGCGGGTGAGGAAAACACAGGGGAATTAGTGGCTGGGTCCCTCCTGGTGCCCTCCTCACAACTCTAACCCTCTTCCTCCCTTGGGGGTCTGCTCCAGGCCAGGCTGGGGCTCACAGGGCATACCTTGTGACGAGGGTTTGCAGGACTTCATCCAGCCGGCTAATCAGGGTCGCCCGGGTCTTGGGCTCAAGCTCCCCACCAGCTGCCCCCACCTCCTGCTGCAGCTGGAAATAAATGTCCACCAGGCTTTCACACCTGGGGACAAGACAGTGGTCAGGAGGCACAGGATTCAGGCTACCTGCTCTAGCCCAGACACCCTGCCCCTAAACCCAGGAAGAAAACAGGACAGTGTGTGTGGAAGGGTGGGATGGGCAGTGGGTGTGGCTGCAAGGCACGTGGGCTGAAAGGGCTCTGGGACATTCCTTGGCTGTGGATGGGAGGTTCCTTCTCAGTGCCTGCAGTCCCCATGGAAACCCAGCTGCCTCTCCCCCAGGACTTTGACGCCCAGGTCAGCTGCCAGCATGCATGGTGCTTTTGCTCAGATTAAATGGTGTTCTGCCCAACGAGCCAAATAGAAAACAGATTCCCATTCCTCTGGGCATGGGGCTTGTAGAGAAAAGAGTGGGTTGGACAAACTCCCACTTGTACCCCCTTGGCTGGGCATGCTTGCACAGGACACGGCCTGAACAACGGCGCGCATAGCTCCGCTGGTACTGGCTTCTGAATCCTGGCCCACTCCAAGGCCCTCTCGCCTGGCTTTTCCTCTCTCACTCCTGTGGGTCCTCCAGCAGAAACAGTGGGTACCGAACCCCAGCCCACTCCCTTCCCTGTCGGCCCTGCCCCAACCTCTCCTGTAGTTGGGTCAGGTTCTCATCAAACGGTGCGCCATTCCCTGCCAGCTGCTGCTGCCGTTTCCAAATCTGGATCCTCTTCAGCACCAGGGCCTGGGCCGCCTCCAACTCTCCAACAGTCTCCTGCAGCAATGTGGCCAGGGCCTGCGGGCAGGGAAGGCCTGAGCCAGGGCCACACACGGCCTCCTCACTCAGCTCCTAAGGATAGGACTGTCTCTCACCTCTCTGGCATTCCCTTACCGCACCTCAGTCTGTCTCTCTGAGATCTAATCTCCATCACAGAGTTAGACTTTAGATCCCTCAAAGACTGCATTTTCAGCTCAGTCTTCACCTCTCAGTCCATTACTCACCTCAGTTGACCCAGTTCCATTGGCAGGAGTTTCTATCAAGCTGTGCAGAGACACTGAGGGTTGGAGCAGAAATCAGGAGTAAAGAAAGATTTGAAGTTCAGTCAAGGGTGAGATCCAAGAGTGATGGCTCCCACATACTACCCAGAAACCTCTTAGGGCCCCAGGCGCAGGTCCCCACCTTGGCCGGCCTCAGCCTTCTGCTGCAATGCTTCTCGGAGAAGGCGGCTTTCCCCCACTCGGTGTCGTAGCCTCTGTAGGGCTGTGTTAAACTTGAGTTCCTCCTGTTTCCAGTGGAAGGACATTGGCAAGTGGCGGAACTGCACAGGAGGGACAGACATAAAGAGCTGTAACACTGCCCATTCCTCTCTACTCGGCCTCCGCTCCCTAAAGGGGTGCCGGCTGCCACGCTCTGCAGAAAAGGAGACAGGCCACTTTCCTCGTCTCCCCTTTGACAGTTCTTCCTCACCCTTTGGAATCTCCCAAAGATAAGCAGACTCAGCTCCCTACTCCCTGCTCTTCTCCCCAGGCCTCACTACCTCCAGTCCCTCATTGGAAGCTTCCCTGAGCTTGTCTTGGGGTTCACTCTGACCATAGAAATTACTTTAGTCGTCCTGAGCCTCGAACACTGAGGCTTTCCTGAAGTTCAAATTCCTTCTTGTTTCTCATGGCTCAGGCTAAAGTTCCAGAGAACTGAGTTGGGGTGGGAGGTGGAATGTCACAGTACCTGCTCCATAACAGCTTTTTTCTCCCCTTGAAGTATTTGTCTGAAAATGGCTACCAGCTTCAGGGGGTCCCTCTGATATATGCTCTATAGAAATTAAGAGTGATAGGCAGAGTTAGCCTGGCTCTTACCCACGTCAGTCTCCCCTCCAAACTTCCGCCCCCTGACCGGGCCTCGGTTCACACACACACACACACACACACACACATACACACACACACTGAAAGGCAACACAACTGTAGACTCTAGAAGTTTTCATGCATTTGCATACTTTTAAAATCTAATTTGCATGCTAGCTAACAGCTAACCACAGGAACACCCATTTGTTTCCAGTGCCCAACCAATTTTCTTACAGCATCCAACGCTCACCCCAGCTCCACTCTAGCCCCACTCCAGCCTTGTCCCCTCTCCTCCTGCCCCCACCTCCAGGGTGTTGATGTGCTGCAAGATGGTGCTCCCCTCCCCTGGCTTCCTGGCTGAGGCCTGAAGGTGCTGGACAGTGGCAGAAAGTAGGGTGCTGGCCATGTTGCAGCAGAAGGCATCTGAGCCAACCAGGAACTCCCTGTGGGAAAATCAGGATGAGGTGGCTTGGGGTGAGGGCTTCATCAGCTCTACTAACTCTTTACCCCACAGTAAACAGCTCAGTGGCTCCTTCCTCTATTACTCTCCATCCAGGTCCTCTGCAGCCCTCATCTTGCCCCTAGTTCACCAATCTTCCAACTGTGAAGGGACATGCCCTTGCCCCAGCCCTGACCTCCCTCCTCTCTGGTTCAACCTTCTAAAGGACAGGGGACTCTGTGTCAACATGCAATAGTCTGGTTAATGTGGCATAGACTCTGTTAAATCTAGGCTACTCATATCAAATAATGGGTCCCAAGCCCTAAAATGGTGCAGAGAAAATCTAATTAAAGGGAAAGTTGGTGGAGAAGGACCTAGGGGATTAACATGGGGCAGCGGGAACTCACCAGGGCTGGTTCTCCAGCCAGTCACCCAGGAGATGCCGCAGGTGATGGGGAAAGTCAACATAGAGCCGCTGCAGTTTTTCTGGGGGCATCTGGGATACCAACCCCCACAGAGACATGATCTGGGGCTTGGAGGGCATCTGGAGGAAAGGAACAGGCCACTCTGAGAGGTGCTCAAGAAAGGTGGCCTATGTTCTGGGGCAGCCAGGGACCTCCTGAGGGCAGTCCTCCCAGAGACCATCCCCACCACACGCAGCCAGACCACCTCACACACACCAGGGACATTTTGGGTCAGTGCCTGAAACAAAGTGAACCCTTCAGTGGTAGACAAAGGGGTGACAGGGTGTGAAGAGCTGAGCTGCAGCCAGAGGAGTAGGGAGGTAGGGGAGGCGGGGCACTAGGGAAAGCTCTCTGGGAAAAGGCAGAGGACTTGGGTTGCCAGGTCCCAGGACTTGGGACCTGGCTCTGGTTCCGTGGGCAAGGAACCCCCGCCTCTGTGGACCTCAATCTTTTCATCTATAAAATATGATGCTTGGAGAGGGGCAGAAATTTCCCAACTATTTATTCATTTAAAAAGATTTTAGCCCTGGCTGATGTAGCTCAGTGGGTTGAGCACTGGCCTGCAAACCAAAGGGTCACTGGTTCGATTGCATTCAAGGGCACATGCCTGGGTTGTGGGCCAGGTCCCCAGTAGGGGGCACATGAGAGGCAACCACTCACTGATGTTTTTCTCCCTCTCTAAAAATAAATAAATAAAATCTAAACAAATATTTATTTATTTATATTTAAAGAGAGGGGGTGGAGGGAGAAAAAAAAGGAGAGAAACAGCCATGTGAGAAAAACACTGTTAGGTCACCTCTTGTACACACACACCCCAACCAGAGGCGGAACCTGCAAACCAGGCATGTGCCCTGACCAGGAATCGAACTGCTAAACTTTCACTTTGTAGGACAACGTCCAACCAACTGAGCCACACTGGTCAGGACAACTTTCCAAACTTTTTAAAGCAATAGTATTAATCTGTGGAATCCCGATTATATAACAGGTATAAAATTAGGGCTTCTCCGCTAAAAGCTAGTGTGGTAGACCTGGAACTCTACTGCTTTTACTTGCCTCTCCCCACCTCTGACCCCATAGGTGTCCCTGAGAAATCTCTCAAAATTCCAGGGTCACATGAGATCATTTGAAAACTAGCCAGCTAGATGGTGAAGAAGAGGCTGGTAGAGCAATAACAGCTACCACTTATTGAGCACTTACTATGTATGAGGCATGACATTAAGCACATGATCTCATTAAAGCCTCACAGCAATGTTTTAAATATTGCATTATCTCCTTTAAGAGATGAAGAAACTGAGTCTCAGGGGGGTTCTCTAACTTGCCAAGGCCACTCAACAAGCAAGTTCAGAGACCAGGATTTGACTCCAAGTGGGGATTAACCACCACACTGTGCTCTGGAAGAAGGTGAGAGAATGGGGAGAAAGTGGGGCTGATAAGCCTGGAGCAAAGAGTCTAGAAGGTGAGGAGAGGAAGACAGAGGCTTGACTACAAGGCCAAGGACAGAGAAGAAAATAGGGAGAGGGGAAAGGAGGAGATGGGAGATGTAGGGGAGAAGGTTATGACCCCATTTCTGAGTGGGCTGCAGAGTGGGATCAGTAAACAAGTGGTTTCCCAGGGGTCTCTCAGTTCATGTTTCTGGTAATGTACTTCTCCCAGGGATGAGGGAGAGGAAGGAATGGAAACTCCCTGGGTCTCCCCCAACTCAGTAACCCCAAATCCTCCTGTTGGGCTTTTAGCCTCTCCTTCCTCCTGGGACTCCCAAAGGGATGGAGAACAGAGGGGCCCCTTCTCTGGAGACTCCTGCTTCAAGACCCCACCCCACCCCACCAGTCCCAGTGCTGCCACCCCAGCCCTTTTCTCCCAAAATAGAATCCTCTTGCCCCTAAACCCTGCCCCCCATCCCCAGCTATTTTCTCCCAAAAGCAGAATCCTCCCTTCTGCTCAGTGTCCTCCAATAGGCCTTTTTTAACCCCACTTTGGGGTGGGACACATTTGGGTCTGTGTTTCAAATTCAAGGGAGGACTCCATTCCTTCTCTCTTCCTCTCTTGTTTCTCATGAAGCTAAGAATTTGACCCCCTACCCCTCTCCTACTGAGAACTGAGGCTACTCCTAAGTCATAGGCAGTCCCCCTTGGTCTATAACCCTGTGTCGCGTGACCAGTCTCCTGGCCCGTCCCTGGTTTCGAACCGCTTCCCCTGCTCTGTCCCCAGACATCGGGAGGCCACACTTTCCCCCACCCCCACCCAACGACGAAGCTGGTCGATTGGCTGGTCAGTACAGGAGCACTCTCCGCTGAAAGCACTCTAAAGACTGGTGGGGACACCGGAGCGGAGCGCCGCGTGAGGGGGTGGGGCCAGGGCTCCCTTCCCTCCCGGGAAGAAAACCCAACGCCCAGAGGTCTCATCACCTGCTTCGGGGCCTACACCTGATCTCCTCAGCCCCTCCATTCCCGAGTCCTCTGACCGTGGGACCACGGGATCAAAAGTCAAAAGAGCTTCTCAGAGTTGCCCAATGTGTGCCGGTGTGTGGCAGTGGGGGCGGGAAGGGGCGCGGGGAGGCGGAGCCAGCGGCACGCGGAGGGTTAACCCCGGGCCGCCGGGAAATCTCGGCGTCTACAGCAGCCAAGCGTGGAGCAGCTTTGAGGGGGAAATTCCCCCTCTTCTGGGGCACCATGAGGTCTACATCTGGAGCTCGCTCATCCCTCAGTTCCTGACCAGGAACCTTCACGGGAGAAAAGGATAGGGGTTTGTCGGCCCACTTAGCCTCTGGTGGCAACCTTCTAGGGAGGGGCAGCCACTTCCCCTGACACAACACCCACCTAGCCCTCCTTCCCCAGTCATTAGTCACTAGGGGGACGGCGGTGTGGAAAAAGTGACCCAAGGAGGGGAGATGGTAGTGCTGGGCCTGTATCCATCTCCGATTCCTCTGAGATTCGAAACTGCCAAAACCCAGTACGACCAGCTATCAACACCAGTTGAAACAGTTTCTGGGGGGCCATCTGCCCCACCATGGGGAGGATCCTGAGAGGCCCCCGGCTATCCCCCCACCCGTGACACACACACACTGTTAGTCAGAAGGCCCCCACCCTCCCATCCTCGGAAGTATCCCCTCACCTTGGCAACCCCTCTGCTGTCTTCTCCCTCTTTCAGCAGGCACTGCAAGGCCATGGGCTTGTAGCTCTGTCCAGCGAGTTCAGGGCTGGCCCTGCCAGCACCTCCCCTCCACCACCACCACCACCAAAAAGAAAAAGTACACACACATACACACAATCCTCTCCCTGTCCTTCCTCCTCAGTGTAAGCAGTCGCTGCCCCAGCCCTCTGTTTCCGGCTTCTGTGTCTACCCAGGTCCCTCCCTGGAGCTCTGACGACACAGAGAAGAGAAAGTAGGCTGGAGGAGGAAGAGGAAGAAAGTGTGTCTCCTGTGCCAAGTGGTGGGGAGACAGGACTGGGGCTCAGGGCCCTGGGGCCTGGATGGAGGGGAGATTGATCCCCACCTACTCTTTTCCCCCAAAGTGATAAACTTTTCTGCGGAAAGTCACCTAATGCCGAGAGAGACGTACAGTCCCAAACTGCCTCTCCCATACTCAAATTTTCACAGAGGTCCCAGTATTTGGGCTCATGAGGGCTCCTTGATACCTCTGGGAAAGCAGATCCCTCTGGGCTCCGCACTCCCTCCAGTGGAGGACCCTGAAAAGCAGCTGGGGAGCTCGATGCCCTCTGGAATGCCTAGGTTCCCCTCCCTTCTTGGTAGGGAACGCCTTAGAGATCTCGTGACCACTGATGGGAGGGAGGCGGAGGGAGGGGATCCCAGGCTCAGAATTCTGAAAGACTGCAGGGTCCATCAGAGTATGTGGGAATGGGCACTAGCTGAAGTTTCTGCCTGCAGATTCCCAAGGGACAAGTTGGAATACGAATCTGCCGTGCAACCTTGGTGAAGTTCCTGTTTCTGGGGTAAACACTGAGACACACCCAGAAACAAACATACATACACAACTTCCCCAGCCACAAGACCACACACACACACACACACACACACACACACACACACACACACACATACTTACACATGTGCAGGCAGGCTCACAGACATGTCAGAGCCGCATGTGGCCACAAGGAGACACATACACATATAAGGCTTGCTTGCTTTCTGAGTTATTATCATAACTAATGGATAGGTTCTGCAGCTTTTTCTGGAGGAAGCCAAGAGACCCAGAGAGGCCTTCATATCCCCAAACCTGAGAGACCTGGTATGTGGGAAGGGTGGTTCCTGGGGGAACGGGGAGGTGGGAGGTGGTTTCTACTCCCCTCCTGTGTTCCTAAACAGGGCAGGACTGAGGGGGCCAAAGCTAGGCCTATGCTGCCCCCTGGTGCCTGGACTGTTTCCCAGAACCCAGCTCCTCCCCCTTCCCCCCACGTGGATGGGCATGTGTGTGCAAGAATGCACGGATGTGTGGGCCCAGCCAGACAACAGAGGGTAGTAGTTAAGAACTAGGACTCTGGAGACAGGCTGCTTGGGTTCATATCTTGCCAACACTACTAACTGCATGATCTGGGCAATTTATTCTTCATGCTTTAGTTTTGTCATCTGTAAAATGGAACAAATAATAGTCCTAAGTAAGGTTTTGTGAGCAAAATGTGATAATACATATGAAGGCTTAGAACAGTGCCTGGCACATAGTAAACACTAGACACTATTTTTATGGCCCAGAATAAACCAGAAATAAGGAAGACAGAAGCGCCTCCATTCTACGCAGGAATCCCTGGTTTTGGGGGTAGTATTAGCCCAAGACAAAACCTATCAGGGATATGTGTGTTTATGCCTTTACTACATCTGAAAGGCAGGGAATAGATGAGGAGGGAAAGCAGCGGTGGAGATGGCCAGCGGGGAGTCGGTCCTAGGATTGCGGCGCGTGCTCACAAGTACTCACGACACACACAGTTAGTATGTGCTCCCAGGCGCTCATGCTGCCTGCAGACATCCACAGTGGCTGAATCCGGGCATCATCATCTAAGGGTCTCTGAAGGTCCAAGTTCCCCTGAACTCTTGCAAGAGAAGGGGAGGAGCGAATGCAGTCTCAAATTTTGCCTCCTTTTAGGGGTAGGTAGGTAAGGAACAAATAGTGGTAGGAAAACAGTATTTATTGTCATCCTCTCCAACTGATTGCACCAATGGGGATGTTATGATGTCATGGAAAGAACCCAGAATTTATAGGCAAATCTGGCTTGGGTCTGATTCTATTCTGTGTCCACCCCTTTAAATGGAGACAATAGTTACAAGTACTTTACACAGCTCAGGCTGGGGAGGTATCTAGGGTGCAAAACTTATGGAGGTACTCATCTTCCGGCTGTGAAATTGCAGGGTTAGCTAGACTTTGAGTAACAATACCCCCACTCGCATGGCCCTGTGAGTGAGTGCCATGATCGCCTTGCCCTCTTCCAGGTCCTACCATCCCACCAAGTGGCTGTTAAGACTGCATAAAAGAAAACATAGGAAAAGAACCCCACTGCAGGTTGTAACCCAACTGAGTCACAAGATCAATTTGGTGAGTGTATTTGTGTGCTAGGGCTGTCATAGCACAGCACCACAAGCTGGGTGGCTTAAGCAAAAGAAATTTATTGTCTCACAGTACTAGAGGCTAGAAGTCCAAGATCAAGGTATTGGCAGGGGTGGTCTCGTCAAAGGGCTGTGAGAGAGAATCTGCCCCAGGCCCCTCTCCTCGGCCTGTAGATGGCTGCCTCTGCTCACATGCGTGTGAGCCTATCTCCAAATTTCCCCCTTTTTTTCTAAGGCACCAGTCTGATTGGATTAAGGCCCAACTTAATGACCTCATTTTAACTTGATTACCTCTGTAAAGACCCTATCTCCAAATAAGGTCACATTCTGATGTGCTGGGGTACCTCATATAAATATGAATTTTTGAGGGACATAAGAATTCCACATATTAGTGTATGAATGTTCAAGAGACACAGTGTGACCCATAACAGTGAACACTGATCATCATTTCTTTGTTTTTTATTATTTTATATATTCATTGATTTGAGAGAGAGAGAGAATCATCGATTGGTTGCCTCCCATACATTACATGTCCCAACTGGGAATTAAACTCACAACCTAGGTATGTGTCCTGATTGGGAACCAAACCTCCCACTTCTTGGCATATGGAACTATGCTCTAGCCACCTGAGCCACACCAGCCAGGGTGATCACCACTTTTTAAAAACAAAGAATAGAATAGAATAGAATAGAATAGAATAGAATAGAATAGAATGGAAAATACCAGAAGGCATCACACAAAGAAGTAAGGATAAGTAGTGTCTGAGTTCTAGGTCTTGATGTAAAATACATTTTAGTGAGGGTTTGTGATTTTTTTAAAGCATCATTTGGATGTTGGTTAACATCAGAAATCACTCCAACAATAACATAAGCTCCCGGAGGACAGGGAATCATATCATCCTGTAAACACTGCTGTGTAGCTAGAAAAGACAACATTTTTTTATCTTGCTAGTAAATACAAGAACTACCATTTACTGAGTGTTTACCGTGTACCTGACACTGGGCTAAATGCTTATTTTTTAAAAGATTTTATGTATTTATTTTCATAGATAGGGGAAGGGAGGGAGAAAGAGAGGAAGAGAAACATCAATATGAGAGACACACTGTCAATTGTCTCACACAGGCCCCTCAACCAGGGACCTGGTCCAAAACCTAGGCATGTGCCCCAATTGGGAATCAAACTGGTGACCTTTTGGTTCACAGGCCAGCACTCAATCCACTGAGACACACAAGCCAGGGCTTGGCTAAATGTTTCACATACACTAAATTTAGAGATCCACTGATGGCAGGAGCTCAATGCATTTCACATTCAAGAGACAAGATGAGTGGGCCACGCTCAGGAGCACTAGGCAGTGTGCTGGGATTTGTGGAGGGTTGAGGGATAGAAGGGAAAGGTCACAGAAGTGTGGGAAGAAGCTGTGGGCCCTAGCCAGTTTTGTCTCTCAGACCTTTGCCATTGTCCCAAAATTTCCATCCATCTTGACACCAATCCACCCACCACCTGAATTAGAGGGAAAAGAGGCTCTCAGTTGTAAACTCCCCAGTTTACTTCTAGTAAACTTCTAGTTTCCTGCTCCCTACCAACAGACACATTCATCCACACCTGTGTCCTCCCCCTCAGGCTCAGAGGAGAGGAAGTCTGTGTCTCTGCCCCTACCCACGGTTTGTTCCTCCACCTGTGCTCAGGGCCCCTCCCTTCTGCTTCCCCAGGCACTGTTGCATTTATTATGCCCTTGATCCCCCAGATCTGCAACCTCTCATTTCTAATTACTACAGCTCTTAAACCTCAGCATTTAAACATGTTCAAATCTCTCCCACCTTTAAAAAAGTGAAGTCAAGCTGATGTCAAACAAAACCAATCTGCCCAGAATCTGTGTCCAGTTAATTCCACAAAAATGTGTTGGGTGTCTGCTTTTAGGCTCTTACAGCTGAGAGGGGAAGCCTGATTAGTTAACAACAACAACAAAAAAATGATACTACAGGATAATTGGGGCTATGGCTCCAGTGAAGCACAGGGTACCATGGGAGTACATAGAAGAGGCATGTAGACTAGGTAAAAGATAGGGGAGACCAGGGAGGTCTTCCTGGAGGAGATGATGCCCAAACTAAATCTTGAAGGAAAAATAGGAACTATTTAGGCAAAGAGAACAAGAGAAGAGCTAAACTAGGAAGAGGATTTAGTATATGCAAAAGTATGTATCCTATGGGATTATGGTAGCTTCTGGAAATGGGTAGTAGTTGGCAATGGGAGCACTAGAAGATTTGGGGCTGGTGAGTAATATCACGAGATTTAGTAGAGAGACCACCCTAGTTGTAATTTAGAGGAAGAATTTAAGGTATAAGTCTGAAGCCAAGAGAACAGTTCAGATGGAGGAGGAGACCATTCAGTGGAGGAGTAAAGGAGAAGCAGTGTGGAATTGAGGCTGGTTTACAGAGAAGTAAAGATATGAGGAGCCAGTGGGTAAGGAAAGAACAGAGTGAAGGAACTGAAAGTCTCAATAGACCTAAAGACCAGCCTGCCTGGGAGCAAGAGAGAAAGAGCTCGAGGGCTGGAATGCTGTGGTCAGAGACAAGGGCTGAGATTTCAGTCCAGTTCTCCTGGGAGGTGCAGGCTGTGGCTACTGGAGTGAGTGGCTATGGCAACGTGGAAGTGAGTCATTAGAGTTGAGAAAGGCAAGAAACCAAGAGGCCAAGGGGCTGCTGGACTACCTGAATGACACTGAAGCTATCTGGCTTTGCAAAAGACCTGAAGGCAGACAGGAAAACAGTGAGTCCGATGCCAAAACCCTCAAGGGTTGTGGGAAAGTGGCCCGGATGTCAGTGGGTGACAGCAAAAATAATAAGAAAGATTTAGTGAGGCTTTATGTATTACTTCAATTCCTACTTTAAAAACATCCAGGTTCTGTACATTTTCTCCTACAATACTATGAGATAGAACTATATGCCCAACATGGTAGCCACTAACCATATATGGGTATTTAATTTTAATTTAAAAATTCAATTTCTCAGATGCACTAGCCACATTTCAAATGATCAATAGTCACATATGGCTAATGGCTACTATATTAGTGCAGATACAGGACATTTCCATCTTCACAGAAAGTTCCATTGCATAGTGTGTTGATAGTCCTCATTTTATAGATGAGTAGACTGCAGTATGAAAAGTTTAAGTAACCCACCCAAGGCCAAAGAGCTGGCAAGTAAACCGGGATTTGAATCCAGTTACTCTAACATAATCACTGTTGCCCCTAAGCTGCATGCTACACATTTTCTCAATGGAAGGTGAAATAGCTGGTCTTTATAAAGGAAGAGGAATATATATGACTATGAGGGCAAACACTGGTGGTACCTACTCAACAGCAAGCCTTTCTCCCTTGCAGGCAAAGCCTGGATTTTGTACAGGTGTTCCCTCCCATGAGTTCAGGGGATGAATCTCATTGGTCTAACCAATCATAGTATTTCCATTCCCCTAGCCAATAGGACTGTAAGGGGCTCTTTAGAAAGATTTTGTTCTTCTTTAATACCAACTCCACATGTGAGACTGGAACAGCTGCAACCACGTTGTAACTGTAAAGAGAGAAATTATAATATTGAGGATAGAGTAGCAGTGCAAAGAGGTAAAACATTCTCCAAGAATTAACCAGCCTTCAACCTGCTCTGACCTTCCTCATCGTTCAATCTGCTTTAATCAAGTCCTCTGTTACTTGCTGCTAGATGCATCCCTAACTGAACTCTTGATCGAGCCATACTAACTACAGGAAATGGAGAGCCCAGAGTGGGCTGATTGCCCCAGCTTCCAACACCACTAATTTTGTGCGCTTGGAAGAACAAGTGATATCTCTTTAAAGAAAGAGTGTCCTCAGACAAGCAAAGAAGAGTAAGGACAGTCTGAGCCAAAGGTGGCCCAAGGTTTTGTGCAAGGATAGGGGTAGGGAACAATACAAGGGTGGTCAGGAAGAGGAAGCCCTGGGCTTAGTGGAGAGGGGCAGATGCCCAGTGAGGCCTGCCAAGGATGACAGGATGTGAGCAATGTCAGGGTCAGCTGATCTCAAGGTTCCAAATGAGGCCCTGGGCTGTCAGAGGCTTGCTGTGGCCAACAGACCTTCACCTCCCAGAAGGACAAGTAGCAGCCCTGGTGGGTGGGCAAAGTCAAACATCTCTGAATGGAGCTGGCTGTGGTCAGGATTGAGCCTCTGCAAGGAAATTCCAGCCTTCTAACTAGCACTGTAATTACTATCTTCCCTCCACACCCCCCAACCTTCTCTTCCCCTGTACAGCCAAGGTTCTTGGGAAAGTTATTCATACTGTCTTCCCTCCCTCACCTCCTCGGTACACTGCCAGCTGGCCATTGTCTCTACCAGCCCAGTGAAACTGTTCTGGCCTATGTCACATGTGCCCTCCTAAGGTCAAAGACAATGGCCTGCCCCTGCCCTTCCCCCACTGGACTCTCAGCTGTATTCCACACTGTTAGTTACTCTTGAGTAAGCTCTACCCCTGTTGGTTTTTATGATCCCTTTGTCCTGGTCTTCCTCCTTCCTCTCTGGATGCTCCTTCTCAGTCTCTTTCTTCACAGACCACTCTTCCTGTGTAATCTCCTCCAGACCCAAGGCTGCAGCATCCTGGGGGCAAAGCAATGTAATATGGCATTTAAAACCATGGCCTCTGGGGTCAGGTCACCAGGTTCAAATCCCTGCCCTACCATTTGGTTGATGTATGACATCCAAGTCCCTATCAAGATAAAGATCATTGTCTTTGCCAGCTCTCCCCACCCCAAGAGAACCACTGTTCTGATTTTTCCCACCATTAATTAGTTTTGTCTGAGAATTCATATAAATAGAATAAAACAATGACAGGTAAGATTCCCCAAGGGGGGAACGACCTAAGACAGACACGATCACATGGGAGGCCCCCAAGGAAGGACTTTGGGGGCTACAGTAAAAGAAGGTGATGGACCCTCACCCCTCAGCTTTGACATAGACTGATTTCTCATTGTCTGTGAGAAATCTCCTAATCTCTTGGCTGCCTTACCTCCCTTGCTCCACCTAAGCCTGAAACAATGACAGAAGGTGGTACAGCCCTGTGCTGGAAAGGGCGGGTTCCCCAGGCAATCAGGCCTAAGAAAAAATATGTAAAATCCTGTGAAACCTGCTTTGTTTAGAATGCTCTCAATTAAATGATAAGAGTCCAAGGAAGAAGTAAGTTTGTTCCTTAAAGTTTTTTACAGCTCTTTAGCTATCTGACCCTGACTCAAAATAGATTCTCAGAGTTCCTTGTTATTTGATCCTTACTTCCCGGCAATGAGTAATGAGCTTTACCTGAATTCCTGTGTAAACGAACCCAATAAAAGCCATTGAGGAAAAGGCTCTTGGTCTTTCTCTTGTGAGAGATCAGCCACCTTTCCTCCCCAAGCAGATCATGTCTTGGTAGACTTATTCTCATCCGTGGCAGACAGGGGGCTCTGTGGACAAAGCTACCTCACATCTTTTGATGAGCAAAAGTTTTAAGTTTTGATGTTTCTTTTATCAACTTTTTTTTCTTTTGTGGTTATTGCTTTATGTGACTTAAGAAATTTTTGCCTACCTCCCAGTCATGAAAATATTCTGTTTTCACCTAAAAGCTTTATTGTAGTTTAGCTTTTATAGCTTAAATCTATGACCTATTTTGAATGAATTTTTGTATATGGTGTGAGATAGGTCAAGTTCACTTATTTCTCCCATATAGATATTTAGTTGTTCTAGCACCATTTGCTGAAAAGACATACCCTTTCCCCAGTGTATCACTTTGATGCCTTTGTCAAAAATCAAGTGATTTTTGCCCTGGCTGGTGTGGCTCAGTGGTTGAGTGCCAGCCTGCAAATCAGGGGGTCGTTTGTTCAATTCCTGGTCAGGGCATATGCCTGGGTTGCAAGCCAGGTCCCCAGTGGGGTGCGCGGGAGAGGTGGCCATACATTGATGTTTCCCTCACTCTCTTTCCCTTCCCTTCTCTAAAAGTAAATAAATAAAGTCTTTAAAAAAATCAGGCAACTTCTAAGTGTGAGTCTGTTGCTGATCCCCCCTTCTGTTCTATGGGTCTGTTTGTTGATCCTTGCGGTAGTACCACAGTTGATGACCATAATCTACAAGTCTTAAAGCGAAGGAGTGTAAGTCTTCCAGTTTCCTTAGCACTGAGATTTTAAAAGCTCTCCCCAGGTGATTCTAGTGTGCTGCCCAAATTTGAGAACTTTGAGAATGTTCTAATGTGAACCAAAGTTTCCAGACCCAGTTTCCTCTGTCCCTATCCTCCAGGGAGACATGATAAACTAATTAGTAAACTTGATCCTAACTCCTTAGTCTGGAATCCTCTTCCTCTTTAACTTTGATGTATTAAGCACTTCATCATCTTCACCTGACTCCCCACTACTTCTAGAAAAAAAAGCCTGTCCTTAATGTGGCTAAAATCACCCTTTGTGGTTAGGCTCCCTAATATTTCATCCATCACCCTCCCTAACAAGTACCTTGAACTTCAGCCATATCATATTAGTCATTCCTCACAATTTTTTTAACTGTTAGTTCATGTCTTTTATTAACCCACATGCAATTCCTTGCACTTCAGTTTGTTGAAGCAGTAGGTCTGACATCTGCCACAACAATGCCTGTCACAGCGGCTGGCCGTAAAACCTCCAGCACCGTGTTCACCTGAAGGGGCTCTGGAGGAAGGCAACGATTTTGCCTTTCTCATCCATCTTATACTATTTCAGAACAGGCAGTTTAAGCTTCTTTCTCTGCACTTATTCTTCTTGGGAGTGGTATAAGACTTCTTCCTTTTCTTAGCACCACCACGGACAGAGTCTCAACGCAAGGTGACGAGTGGTCTCCTTTTGAACGCCGTAGTCAGACACAGTACGTCCATCTTCCAGGTGCTTGCCAGCGGAAAGTCAGTCTTTGCTGACCACATGGAATTCTTTCCTTAGACTGGATCTTGGCCTTTACATTTTCTATTGTATCCAAGGGTTCTTCCTTGAGAGTGATGGTCTTCCTCATAAGGTTTCCACGAAAATCTGCATCTTGGCAGTAGGTACGCCACAGATGGAAGATCAGAAAGCTTCCTTGAGTGTTTTGAACTTCCTCATTCTCCCATGTCTTTGCCTGCCCACCAGCCTAAAACGCACTTTCCTCCTGTCATTGTGTCATTTTCTTCTTCTCTTTCAATATGTAGCCCGGCATCATCTACACTGATGTGCTTTGACCCCCTCATACAGAATAAGCATCCTGCCCTGGTTCCCATGGCCCTCTGTGCTTTCCTTTATCATAGACATCAGGTACTGTGTTATAACTATCCATCACCTTGTTGCACAAACCCACTCATCTGTATGCTTCCTGAAGACTGAGACTGTGTGTTTCCATCTCTTGTCCCTAGTGCCTACCAATGTGCTCAGCACATATGAGCACATGTCTATTAAATACATGTCTACTTGAATACATGTCTACTTGAATACATGTCTATTAAATGTATGAAAACTAGGCTCCAATCTGTGTTGTGATTTGAGGCAAATTTCCTTAATCTCTTTTAGCTTCTTTCTATATCTACAAACTGGAAATAAGACCTATGCCACAAAGTGGTTATGAGTCTCAAGTGAGCTAATCCATGTAAAATCCACTGTGTGACTTGGTACATGGTAAGCACTAGCTCGATAAATCTTGGGTCTCTTCCCACCTTCCTCCAGACTCTTCACAAACACCCTTCCTATTTACACTTCTTTAGCTGACCACTAGGTGGTGTCAGTCTCTGGCCTGACATTCATTCTCAGGGCAGCCCCCTTAGTGCCCCAGTCCCAGTTCCTGTTACACTCAGACAGGAAAAGATGATTAATGATTTGTTGGGCGATCTAAAAAAGAAGATATCCTCTCTCATACCAACTTTTTTGCCCACTGTCACCATTGTAGGTATCCTGATTATGGATTGCAGAAAATCCCAGTTTGATTTCCCACCATTTTGGTTATAATTCCAACCCAAGGATTTGAAGATGGAAAGCACTCCTTAAAAATAGAAGTGGGGAGAGGAGAAAAAGCTCAGGCAGAGAGGGATTGCATAATGAGTGCTATAGGAGAAATACAGAGAGGATGCTTACAGCCACATCCATTAGAAAGGAATTAATTATGACTGTCTCCTCCACCAGCACAGACATCTCATCAGTCAATCAAGAGCTCCTAACAGTGGGTGGATACAAAGAAATAAAACACATCCTTGCCCTTAAGGAGTCTATGGTCTGGCGGTAGACACAGAGCCCTCCAAATTAAGTGTTAATATCTAGGTACTGAGGCTATCTTGAGTGCAAGTTTGGAACAGGAGAGATGGGCAAAGGGAGAATAACAGAAGAGCTTTTTCTGAGGAGGGGAGGGAGGAGCTAGGAGAACAGATAATTAAAGGCTCAGGTAGAAATATGCATTCTCTCATCTTACAGAGACACACTCAGCAGTTCACATACTGGAAATAACCCAAGTGTCCGACAACCTCAACGGATTGTGGAGAATCCAAGCAAGGAGATTCCAAATAGCCAATGTAAAAAGAGGACTAGAAGTGTGTACAGTGTGGAAGGGTTCAACATAAGTTAATTGAAAAAAGCAAGTTATAAAATAGTATATATTACATGAGCTCATTTGTGGTTTTAAAGGATGTTTATGTATACCTGTTTATCTTTAAAAAACAAACAAACAAACCTCTTGGAAGGAGACCCACAGAACTGTCAATAGTGGTTATTCTGAGGGTGGGACTGAAGAAAGGGAGTATGGAGAATAGCAAGCTTACTTTTCACCATGTACCTTCCTACACTATGAATTCTTTAAACCACTGTATATTACCATTTTTATAATACAAAGTTAAAAATGAATATCATTTACATTCAGGAGTTAACAGGTGTTGGGAGGTAGCAAATAAAAAGTGCTGGCGTGCTGGCTGAGGCCAGACTTTGGAAGCCCATGACGGGGAGAAGAGTTCATGTATGATTTAGTTGTCTATAGTCACCCAGTAGAGGTTTCCCAGCCAGGGAGAGACTAAACAGGGAAAGCAGACTTGGAAAGATTCACCTGTGTAATAAGGTAGCTGGCAGGGAGAGGGATGAGACTGCTCCCTCACAAGCTACATATGGTCACTCCATCTAGATTTTTCCTCTCAAAGAGGTCTGAAATCTGTGTAAATCTGATTTCACTTGGAGGTAACATTGGTAGAGGATCTTAAGAGAGGAAGGAATCTAGTAGGCATTCATCAAAAACATTCAGTGTGTCCCTGCCATGTGCCCGTCATTGGGTTAGCCCATGAGGGTTGTTGCATAGAAGGGTGAACATGATCCCACCTCAGCGTGAGGAACCTGTGACAGTGGAAATGGAAGAAATCTGAGCTTTAATTCAAAGAAGAAGAAGAAGAAGAAGAGGAGGAAGGAGAGGGGGAGGAGGGGGAAGAAGGAGGAGAAAAAAAGACAGGCCTTGAGCACAGACTTGCAAGATTAGATATAACTGGCAGAGAGTATGAGATTTCTACCCTGGGAGACTAAATGTAGGTGGCCTTGGACTGGAGCAAACCTAGCCCAGAATAAGCTCTGGTTTAGGGGAAAGGTCTAGTTCCCTCTGGATTCTTTCGTTGCTGTCACTGCCAGCAACGGACAAGTCCTCCATGCTGCTCTGCTTTCTGCCAGGGACAGACTGGAGGACTTAGGGCTCTTCCTTGAGTAGCATTTTAAAAGGGATAAGTGTGGTGAAACCCTCTCTCATCTCTAACGTCAATTTCTGGCAGTCAAAGTCACCTGCTGTCTCCCTGAACTCTGAATTCCAGACACCAGAAAATCAGACTCAGGGCACAGCCTTTAAACACGGCCCAGAAGGGGGCAGTGGCCAGAAGCACATTCAAGGGGCTCTGGAAACTGCCCCAAAGCCTTCTGGATTCAAAGCAGCATTCCTGTACCAGCTCAGGGCCGGGACAAAGGTCCAGCACTTAGCAGACACCTCCTTAAAATTCGAGTCCAGAGTCCCTCATCTTATTCCAAATCTAAAACCTCAACTTGGTGGGAAGCCCAGTCAGAAGGTATAAAAAAACAAAACACCAAACAAAAAAAATAAATGAGCCCTGAACTCTTGGGGCGAAGGGGTGGCCCCACCCGCTGGTGACTCACCTCCCTCCAAACCAGAGCTTGTCCCTCCCGCGCCCGGTGCCAAGCGAGTAGGGCGGGGTGGGTACTAAGGTGGGCTCCATCCCCGAGTCCCAGGAGGGCGGACAAGCACCGGCGTGTCCCCGCGGGTGTCCCTGTTTACTCCGAGGCCCGGAGCTAGGTGGGGGCGGGCCCTCGCGGCCCCTCCCCCACCCCGCCCCCCACCGCCACAGGCCCCAGTCCTGGTCCCAGTCTTACACAGTCTCGAAATCACTCAGCCTTTCCCCGTATCTTTCCGGAGGACTGGCCCTGCCCCCATCCCAGGCAGGCGAGGCACAGTCAGGGTACCTCTAGGAAATCAGGCCTCTGCCCAGACCTCCGGATCTTGGATCCCCAGACCTGTCCCGAAATCCTAGGACACTGACACCGAGTTTCAGAAAGAAGCCGCTCCGCTCTCCTCGCCCACTGCCCAATCACCCCTAGTCCACTCAGCAATTTGCAGCGAGGGGCAGAAAGGCCAGGTCACAGGAGAGGACGTTCCCGGCCCCAAACCAGCCACGACGCCACGGGACCCCCACTCTCAAACCTCCGGCCAGAGCTCCAAATCTCCTAGCTGCCCTGATTCCCCCCACCCTAGGGCAGCGCGCCAAATCGGCGCATGCGCAGTCACAGGACTGCCGCGTAGCTCGTTCCCCCCCCCCCTTTTTTTCTTTCCCCGCCCCTTCTCTCCCTCCCTCCTCTCCCCATCCCCTCCCTCTCTTCCCTTCAGCCCGCCCCGCGGCACCTCAGTCCGGGGAACAGTGGTGTGAGCTCTAGGCCCGTGCACTAAAGAGGCTGAAACGTGGGGAGCCTGCAGAGCTCCATCAGGCCCCTTCCAAGGGCTCCCCCACCCGGTCCACGCCCCCACCCCCCTCCCCGCCTCCTCCCAATTGTGCATTTTTGCAGCCGGAGGCGGCTTGGAGATGGGGCTGTGAGCTAGGGAGGGGGAAAGAGGAGCGAAGAGAAAAGCAGGGGGTGAAGGGTTTGGATTTGGGTGCAGGGGGCGTACCCTCGTCAGCAGACCCTCTACAAGGGACTCCGAACTCTGCCTCTTCACCCACGCCCCTGGTGCGTTGCCGAAAGATAGGATAAGAATAGAAGAGGAAAAGGGGGAAAAGGGGGACCCCCCAGTTGGGGGGGGGCGACGGCGAGAAGTAACAGGACCAGAGAGTAGGGGGCTGCTGCTTGCATCAGCCCACACCATGCTGACCCCGCTGCAGCTGCTGTTGCTGCCCCTGCTCTCAGCTCTGGTCGCCGCCGCTATCGACGGTAAGTGAGATTCCGCGGGCCCCCTTGGATCCCTGGGGACACTCACTCCCCAGCCCCCACTCTTGCGTTCGGATGGGGAGGGGAGATGCAGGAGGGGGTGCCTTTTGTTATCCCAGTCCAGCTGACACAGCAACGGCCCTACTGGGGGTGGGGATGGGGGTCTGATTTGGAGGATGTGGCCCTGGGCAAATGATGCTTCTGGGGGGGCCCCAGCCCAAACAAAGGCCAGAGGCCTGGGAGGAGAGGAGGGTTCCCCCTTTTTCTGATCCCAGGATCCAGAGGCCTTCTCCTCCTATGTCTGGTTCAGGAGGGCCTCCACCTCCCCTACATCTTCCACCCCTCAACCCTCATCTGAATTGTGAAGGAATCTGGATTTGCAATATAGGGCTGCAAAAGGGCGGAGGGGGGTGGCTTTTGCAGTGGCCTCTGTATCTGGAAGGGTGAGCAGGGACTGGGGTTCCCTGCTGGGCAGAGGGCAGGCAGGCCCGAGATGGCTGTGGGTGGAGAGGGAGGGCCACGGAAAGGCCCCCTGTTTGGGTGTGGAATCTGGGCCTGGGAGACCAGGATTGGAGGCCTGGGTCCAGGATCCAGCCAGCTGCCAGCCTGGGTTCCGAAGTGAGCACTTCCCCCTCTCAGGGCCTCTGTCAGTAGTCTGGATGGGGATGTATTGGGGGGTGGAAGAGAAGCAGGCGATGCTATATGACTTTGAATTTTCCTTCTTAATTCCTGGGAGCTTTGAAAGGAAAAACGTCAGATGTCATAGTTGGGGAAGGGGACTGGAGAATGGCCTGGAATGCTGAGGTGGGAGGATGGAAGAAGGCCGCTTTCTCTCTGACTACTGGCTTGATCGCAGTTTGGACTAGAAGGAGAGTTGGAGGTTGGATGTGGGTTATGGCTATGACCCCACTCCCAAATTACCTGCTTCTTTGGTAAATGTGTTTATTTCTCTCCACCGTTTCCTTCCCATCCCCCCCCTCCCCCCCCCCCACACACACCACTATATACAGACACTTTATATACTGCAGCTAGGCTTGGGCTAGAACTATGTCCTTTTGGGGGAATGGGGTGCCCTTCCCCTTTATATGTCGGCTATTTTTTTTTCCAGTTACTTGTGAATCACTGATTCAAGTCTTGCCCAAGTTTTGAGCTGGGGTTACTTGGGGTTGGGCTGGGGCCCTGATTTGAGAAGGGGTGGGGTCTCACAGCTTCCCGTCATTTTAGCCCTGTCATCTGGAAAACACTGGGCCCAATACCATTACGCACCCCTCCTCCATCTTCTAAATTTTGCCAGATTGGGATTGGGAAAGTTTTTCTCTGAAACCAGATTATCTCTCCCTCTCCTCCTCTACCCCAAATTGCTTCAGTTGGGAGAGGGAGGTTAGGGGATCAAGAAGTAGCTGTGCCCAGAAAACAGTACATTCAGTGGCCCTCAATTATGCTATCGTGGGGACCTCTGTATGCTCCTCCGCCCTCACCCCCAACTACCTCAATGATCTCTGTCCAAGAGGAGGAAAGAGGGTCTGCCCTGATGTCCTCCAGACCAGTCCTCACAGCAAACCTTGCCCATGGCTTCCACTCATACATCTTCTTTCCTCTGTCATCAACATTGTGGAGGGGACTGAGGCAGAGAAGTTTGTATGTAGCAGTTTCTGGGGGGCGGGTAGAAAAAACAATTTAAGAGAGTGAGAGACCATCAGAAGCCGCACGCTGGAGGGTGGATGGTGTTGGAAGCAAAGGGTAGGTCTCTGTGAAGAGCAGAAAAGTTCCCTGGCCCAGGCAGGAACGGCCCAGGTAGCGTCGCCCCCAGAGCTCTAGAGCAGTTCTGCGTGCCACACCAGGTTGGCTGGTGGTGAATGGAAGAGGGAGGTCGGACATGTTCTCCCTAACTGTCTCCCTACCCATTCTTGACATTTTCACTCAGTCCTCAGTGGTAACCCCAGCTCAAACCGAACTATATCCTAAGTCCCCGGGAAAGGACCCCTCCCCAAAACACTACTGTTCTTATCTTGGGAATGAGAATATGAATCATGGGTCCCACTCACTCTTGGGTCAGACAGGGACATTGCACAGGCCAATAGGGGCCAGCCAGCACTATCCAGGCAGCCTAAGGCATCCTCTTATCCCTACCTTTGCCCTCATTTCCAGATACAGAACTTCCTCCTTCGCAGTTAAGGAAACCTCCCCGTCCCAGCTTACCCAATTTAGGGTCTAACCTTCCTTCTCGCTGCTCTCACAGGCCTTGCTGCTCTTCCTGCAAGGGTGCAGCCCTGGGGTCTTCCCCACTCCTTCTGCCTTCTCTACTATGCCTGAGCCCACCCCAGGGTTCCCTTCTCTTTGGAGAGCAGTGTCACTCCCTGCTAGTAGATAGAATTGAGTTTACTTGCTATAGTGCAGATGGGGAAACAGACAGAGTGGGAATGGGAAGAAGGGCTGTTGAGGATCCTGGTGAGATTAAGAACATTTTGTAGTGGTTGGTGTAGCTCAGTGGACTGAGTGCCGGCCTGTGAACCAAAGGTTGCGGGTTCGATTCCCAGTCAGGGTACATGCCTGGCTTGCTGGCCAGCACCCCAGCTAGGGGCGTGCGAGAGGCAACTGATCAATGGTATCTCTCATACATCGATGTTTTTCTCCTTCTCTTTCTCCCTTCCTTTCCCTCTCTAAAAAAAAATAAATAAAATCTTAAAAAAAGAAAAAAAAAAAGAACATTTTGTAGTGGGAAGTGTGACCCCAGGCAGACCTGGCTCAGAAGAAGTCTGACTGGCTTCCCTCTCTCCTGCCCGCCCCACACACACCCGTGAGCTGTCAGACAAGCTGGGCAGTTGAAGCCAGTTATGAAGCTGAGGTGTTTCCCCTTGGCTCTCTGAGAGGAGGTTCCAAGCTCCTTTCTCCCCCGGTCAGACCCAGGTCCTGGAACGCCTCCCCTTACCCTCATCCTTCAAAACAGGGACACGTGAGACATTGATTTTTGGATGCAGAGGAGATATTTCGGTGTTTGAGTCTGCTTCACAAGACCCCCTTTTCTTCCAATCTTGCTCCCCCTTCCTCCATTTTCTCCACAGTATTTTGTCCCCAACCTCTTCCCCATCGCTGGGCCTCCTAAGGGTGTCTGTCAGTCAGGGCCCTGGCCAGAGCCAGATCTTGTCCAAATGCTCCAACTCTTCACAGCTTCTTCCTTCCTTGCCCAAGTTGAACTTCCTTTCCTCCTGCTGCAGTCTCGGCCTTGCACATCAGAACCCCAAACCCAGCTTATTCCCCCTCAGTAGTCTCTTTTCAGCCCCCCACCCCCACCCCCTGGCCAATTCACAGACTCTCCAGGCTTCAAGCCCTCTAGCTCTGGACAGGGGCACTCACTACCCAGGGGAGTGGGACTGCACCAGGGTCCCTGATCTGGTGGGGCTAACTGTGGCGGGTAAGCATTTGGAGAATCTCGTCTCACCCCACTGTGTTCAGTCCCAGACTCCAGCACAGTTAGCAGGATACTGCATTGTTTGGAGAAGGAAGCAGTTGGCTCTGGAGTGCTTCCCATGTGGTGGCCCCGGCACCAGCGTCCAAGTTCCCTAGGAGAGAGGCGAGGGGCCGTGAGGGAGAGGCATTTGGCCCTCTTGCTCCTCCTGCGGAGAGGAGTCTCCCCAGGCCTTGGCTTCCCCATTCGAAGAGCCTTCTCTCCCTTCCTCCGACTCTCCCAATCCTATGGGAGGGGGTAGTCCTTATTCAGGGTCTCTCTGGGGTCAGACATTGCTAGGGCAGGGACTCTGTCCCCTTAAATCAGGATACATGCTGCCCCCACCCTGCCCTGAGTCTCAGGGGTGTTTATTTTCCCTGTTCATCCCGAGATTACTGTGCCATTGTCCTG